CCCGGTTCCCGCTCACTGGCTGAGCGAGGTGCGGGGGCAACACCGAGGGTTGCAATCCCGTTGCCGGTCCCCGGTCCGGTACGGGGGCAACACTGAGGGTTGCGATCCGTTGCCGGACACGGAAAAAGACAAAAGACAAAAAGAAAAAAAAAAAGAAATAGTCCTCTAGGAGAGTAGGAAGCGACTGGCCTAGGGAGATGGGATAGGACCCTTGTGGGGGTAGAGGCCCCCACCGTGAGAGCAGGCTAGGTGGGGGGGAGGGGGTGGAAATGAACCACAGTAAATAACAGCAAGAGGGGATTAGGTTGGTGATCAGAGTCTGTGAGAAGGTGGCTTTTAGGTTGAGACCTAAAGGATGGGAAGGAGTCAACCATGAAAGAAATGGAGGAAAGATACTGCTGGCAGAGGAAACAGTGTATGCAAAAAAGACACTGCACCAGGCACCAGAAGGAAAGGCAGTGTCTCTTTCAGTGGGATTTTCACTTCAACAGAATCATAAGTCAAAGGAAAAAATGACTCTCATAGTTGAATGTCAGGCAACAGACAATTGCGAGGTCTGCAAGAACCAGCTTTTGTAGGCTCTGGTCCCCAGTGACAGCCATGTTTCACCATTCTTATATTTCCAGATGGGAGTGAGTGTCGTGGACTCTTCTGTCGCAGGACTTGGGGGCTGTCCCTATGCACAGGGAGCATCAGGAAACTTGGCCACTGAGGACCTCATTTACATGCTAGCTGGCTTGGGCATTCACACGGTAAGCCCGCCTGCCCCCTGGTGGTGACAGCGCTGCACTGACCGGGGTTCTCCCAGAAGCCAGGGGACAAGCTGATGATGAGTTTGTTTGGGGTTGGGATGGTGGGGGGTTTACAGGGGAAGGGTGCCAGGTGATTATGGATATTTTATCTTATGTTTTTGAAGTAGAAGAGTGTGGTTGAACAAGGCCACAAGCATGGGCATAAGAAGGCAAGGGTCTTGACAGTTCAGTTGTAGGAGCCACTAGGGAGTACGGAAAGAGCTCTGAAATGAGTCAGGTTCCCGGTTACCTCTGGGCCTTTGTTTTGTCCTCTGTAAATTGAAGGCAGTAGAATTAGACAGCTGCCCAAGGCTCTCCCAGAGTCTGGAAGGGCCCTCAGGGGGATGGAAGCAGTATAGCATCTGTGCTTTGGGACAGATGAAACTGGGTTTAAAACCTAGTCCTTGGGGCCGGCCCGGTGGCGCACTGGATAAGTGCGCCGCTTGGGAAGCGTGGCGGCGCTCCCGCCCGAGGGTTCAGATCCCACATACAGACCGGTTCCCGCTCACTGGCTGAGCGAGGCACGGGAGCAACGCCGAGGGTTGCGATCCCGTTGCCGGTCCCCGGTCCCGTACGGGGGCAACACTGAGGGTTGCGCTCCGTTGCCGGACACAGAAAAAAAGTCAAAAAAAGACAAAAACAACAACAACAAAAAAAAAACCTAGTCCTGGGGCTGGCTGGTTAGCTCAGTTGGTTAGAGGAGTATTGTAACACCAAGGTCAAGGGTCTGGATCCCTGTACTAGCCTGCTGCCAAATAAAAAATAAAACCTAGTCCTGCCACTCACAGGCTGTGTGACGTCAGACAAATTTCACTTCTCTGAGCCCAAGAAATGGGAGTGATAATAGCACCCAGCTCATAGGGCTGGCCATTATGAAGATGGTAAGAAAATGTGTGTAGAATGTGTAGCACAGAGTTGAGCACCTAGTATGCGAAGACAAGTATTGTTATGAAGAGAGGTTTTCTGCTTGACCCTTTTATTTTTTTATTTATTTTATTTTATTTTATTTTCTTAAAAGATGACCGGTAAGGGGATCTCAACCCTTGGCTTGGTGTTGTCAGCACTACGCTCAGCCAGTGAGCGAACCGGCCATCTCTATATGGGATCCAAACCCGTGGCCTTGGTGTTATCAGCACCGCACTCTACCGAGTGAGCCACGGGCTGGCCTTCTGCTTGACCCTTTTAGTTGGTGTTTTATTCCTACCTCTCTGTGCCTCACAGGCCTTACTTCAATATGCAGTTTTGACCACTGTGGGCCAGGCCCTGTGCTAGGCCCTGGAAATGAAGTACTGAACAAGATTAATGAGATCCCTGTCCTGGTAGTGGTACTACAGACCATTACACAGATTGGGACATCTTATATGAGGGGGAGTCAGGTGCCAGACAGATACGACCTCCACAGGCAGCTGGTGTCCCACGTCAAGGAACAAGAACCTGTTCATCCTCACCTTTACTTTTTCAGTACTATGGTTGTCCAGTCTGATGTTTCCCTGGGTGTTGGAGGCATGTCATGACTTACTGTATCCTCTAACTTGTTTCTTAAAGGGTGTGAACCTCCAGAAGCTCCTGGAAGCTGGGAACTTTATTTGTCAAGCCCTGAACAGAAAATCCAGCTCCAAAGTGGCTCAAGCTACCTGTAAACTCTGAGCTCCTTGCGCACCTGAAGCCCTGGGGACTGTGTGGGAGTAGGGGCTTGCATGGATGATTCATGAATGGGGACCCGGAAATGAGAATGAGGTTAAAAGGATCAGACACCTCATAGCGAGCTCTGCATACAGGTCTTTCCTAGCAGAAAGGAGGCGAGGGACTAGAGGAGCTGCTTAGCCTCAGGCCCTCCCTGGCAGGTCTGAGCATGAGTGAGTGAAAGGCTTTAGGGGGCTGGACGTCTCCCTTCACCGCGGACCCAACGGCCCCAGGAGTTGAATGCCTGAGGGCACTTGGGAACCTCATTCCCTGTTTGGGATGATCCTCAAGTCTCATCTATGGGTGAAATCTGCCCACTGGCTACCCTCTAGACAGCTCCACCTTGCCATGACCTTGGGGCCATTGCTTTCTGACCTCTTAGGGCAAAGGGCATTGGAGGTCCTCAGGCTGGCAGAGGGCATTTGCTGAAGGGGGTGAGGACTGAGCTGCTGTGGTAGCCATCTGCCAACTCCAACATCCCTGGAAAATCTGCACTCTGTCCATGATTTTTGAAAACGGCTTACGTAATTAAAGGTTTAATGACGACCATTCCAGTATTCGGTTGTGCGGATGTGTGCATATATGAGTGAAGTTAGAAAATATCTACAGTGTTGCACTCTTGAGGAAAATGCAGACTTTGAGCTAGTTGATTAATCTCTCTATTTCCTCTCCTTTTCCCTGCCTGAACCCCAAATCCAGTGACTGGAAATCAGTGGCTTTGGGCTTACTAGTAGACTGCCTGAAGTGGTGGCTGGCCAAAACACCCGGAGGGGTTGTTTCAGAGGCTTTGCCTCTGTGACCAGGGCGGTTGCACAATTTCCCCGCGGGCAGCAATCACCACTTGTTCCTCTGGGCCTGGGCAGGCGGGCCTCTCCTTGGCACTCACAAGCCCGAGCTCTTACCCAGAGAGCTGTGCTCGAGGCTCTACGAGCAGGCCCAGGGCGTTCCCGGCAGTGGGGAACACAGTGCAGTTGTGTCCTGCTGCTTTGCTCAGCTTTCATGACTTTATGCACATCATATTTTAAATAGAAAAAAAATCCTTTTCTGTCTACTATTGTGGCAGGCAGGGTGCCGACAAACTGTCCCCGGCAGTTTGTGAGCGCTGAAAGCCGTCAGCACTGGGATTCCCATTGCAGCTTTAGAGGTTCTTCGAGCTCCCTGGTTTATTTTCAAACTAGACTTTCCAAAGCCACAGCCTCTGGGCGGCCCCACCCATTCCCTTCACTCAGCGCAGCCCCTATTGCCTTAGTTCCCTGGCGTCGGATATTTCGTGCAAGACTGAGTTCAGGGTTTGGCAGATACCGGAAAGTTTGAAACCCTGCGAGTTACAGTGGGGCCGGGGCTTGTCAGCCTCGCCCCGGGCCCGGCCCTCCCTCGGGGGCGCGGCGCTGCTCGCAGGCGTTGGGACGAGCGCACCTTGCGCGTGGACCCCGTCACCTGCAGGGAGCGGCCGTCCGCCCCCCGGCTCTCGGGCCCGTGCTCCCGGCGCTCTCCTTTCCTCTGCCGCCCGTCCCCGTCGCTGGGTGGCACCGTCCACCTTCGCCCTCCGTGAGAACGCGCCGCGCAGTCGCCCTAAAACCGCACAGGACTTTTGTCCTCCAGGCGCTTCCGTAGTGGCCGGAACCCAAGTGACACGTTTTCTTGGGGGCGTGGAGGGGGCAGGCTCAGGGTGGGCCGTCCGCTCTTAAAAGGACCGCCGCTCGGGGCGCGGGAGGCGGCGCCGCTGGAGCCAGCGCGGGACGTGGGATTCCGGGCAGGTCAGGGAGGTTGGATGATGGCTGGATGGGCTCAGGAGTGGCCGGGTGGTCCGCGGGGAGCGAGGGAGTGTCCGGAAGGCCTGGGCCGCGTTCCGGGCAGAGTCCCGCCGGGGCGGGCCCGCCCCCTCTGCTCTAGTTCCCAGCTGCAGTGTGGCCGAGGCGGGCCGGGTTCGTTCATTCATTCCCGTCCCTTCCGAGGCACGGCCCAAAGCCCAGCCCGCGGCCCAGCCGCCCTCCTCTCCATTATACAGACTGGGAAAACTGAGGAGGCGACAGCTGACCAAGGTCAGCCCCGCGGGTCTGGGGCTCAGCCGGCCTCAGACCAGCCTTCCTGTCTCCCAGAGCCCCTGCGCGACCACTTTCTGGGAGTCCACGCAGTGCTCGGGGTTCGGCGGCCTAGAGGTGGGGGTGGCTTCGGCGTCCGGGGCAGAGTCCAGTGGGAAGCAGTGGGGGGAAGGGCGAGCTGCCTGGAGAAAGGGGCCGGGCTGCAAGACCGGAGGTCCGGAGATCCGGATTTCTAGCATCGGCCGGCCGTGTGACTTCATCTCTGGGACCCTAGTATCTTTCTCTGTAAAGTGCCAGTATCAAAACCTGCCTCATCCGGATGTTGGGGGAATTCAGGAAAGTATCGCAGAAGTTCCCGGTACAGAGCCTGGCACGCAGCAGGCGCTCAGTCAACTGTGCTGGAGCTGGATGAGCCCAGAAGGGGATCGAGGCAGCCCGGAGGAAGGCGGCAGCAGGCCAGGTCGCTGAGAATGAAAGGCTCAGTGTCTGGGGCTTCCTTCCCGCTCCACCCCCTCTGCCCGCAGAGTTTGTTCAGGGTGGAGTTGCACACCTGGCAATGGAGACGGGGCACAGTTCACGTCTACACTGGCCATCCCTGTGCGGGCCCTAAAGTTGGATGGGATCTCTAGCTCCAAGACAGGAATAACCAGGCCGGCCCTGGCACGGACAGAGGCCAAGCCAGCCTGGCTGCCCTGGGGTGCGATGGGGGGGCCGGGCCCACTCCAGGACTATGGTGCTGCGGCTCCAGAGCTGGGCACAGTCTGCTTGGCTAAAGACCCCACCCTTCAGGCCATCTGGTATATTTCCTGCTTCCTCCCAGCTGACCCTTGAGGGGAAGGGGTGGGGGGGCAGGGGGAGCTTGCCTAGAGCAGTGTTAGTCACTGAGCCCAGGAGCCAGTTTACACCTAATGATGGCACAGGTACTGAGGAGGCCCGAGTCTGAGCAGAGAGAACTCCTTCCTGGGATCCTGAAGTTCCAATCCTGCTGCCATGTTTTCTTCTGTCCAGGACTCTCCAGTCCCCAGATACTTTGGGGAAGGAAGTATGGGTCCTCGGATTCCATTTTCCCAACCCTGGTCAATTGGAACTAGGAAATACGGTGCCTGTGCATCAGTCTCTCCACCTGTGCCATGTGACAGGCCTTTAAAATCACCTCATTTAATCCTCACACTACAGCAGGATATTTGTATAACTAATAGGGCCATCTTATAGAGACGGAAACAGGCCAAGAGAGGGCAAGTGATGGTACCCAGCTCTGAACCAGCGCTGACTCCACAGCCACCGTTAACTAGGGCACGCTGCTGCCTCTGTCTGAGGCAAGTTCAGGGGTCCAGGCTTCAGTTAGAAGGAGTTCCTGAGCAGGCAGTCTCGGCCACCCCTGAGACTCTGTGTCCTGGGCCAGGTGCAATGGCAGAGAAGGTGCTGGTAACAGGCGGGGCTGGCTACATCGGCAGCCACACGGTGCTAGAGCTGCTGGAGGCAGGCTACTCGCCCGTGGTCATCGACAACTTCCATAACGCCGTCCGTGGTGAGCGTGGGTGGTGGGGCTGGGGTTTCTCGAGGGGATGACAGAAGGAAACCCTGGGTTCTGCTTCCACCACTGAGGGGTGTGTGTGTCTGGCTAGTTCCTGAGAACCCAGGACCCATCTAGTTTTCATGGCCTCCATGTGCCCCCCAGGAGGGGGCTCCATGCCTGAGAGCCTGTGGCGGGTACAGGAGCTGACAGGCCGCTCTGTGGAGTTTGAGGAGATGGACATCTTGGACCAGGCAGCCCTACAGCATCTCTTCAAGAAGGTGGGTGTCTGGCAAGCAGGCAGGGGGTATCGCCAAGAGCTAGGGCCGGTAAAGCAACCTCTGACCCAGCTTTGTCCCCACAGCACAGCTTTATGGCAGTCATCCACTTTGCAGGCCTCAAGGCTGTGGGCGAGTCAGTGCAGAAGCCTCTGGATTATTATAGAGTTAACCTGACAGGGACTATCCAGCTTCTGGAGGTGAGAGGCATGGGGCAGGGACAGTCACTGGGAGGGGCCCCTGTCTGGCAGGCAGTGCCAGACAGTGAGGAGGGGCCTGCCTGGTAGAATCAGACAGGGCCTGAACTGAATCATCCTGGACACGTGTCTTTCTTACCTCCCAGCCTCAGTTTCCTCATCTGTAAATAAGAGTGCCCATAATGTCAGCCCACCCTCCTATGAGGGAGGAACAAATAGGGCGGGAACAGTGCATGAGGCAGAGGCCACTGACGCCTCCCTTCCATTGCCAGACCATGGGGGCCAATGGGGTGAAGAACCTGGTGTTCAGCAGCTCAGCCACTGTGTACGGGAACCCCCAGTACCTGCCTCTGGATGAGGCCCACCCCACGGGTGCCTGTACCAACCCCTATGGCAAATCCAAGTTCTTCATCGAGGAAATGGTCCAGGACCTGTGTCGAGCAGACAAGGTGAGGGCACCCCTTGACCCAGCCCTGGCTCCACTCATTGACTGACTCCTCACAGTCCCCCATGAGCCTGAGGATGGGATCCTGAGCACCACACCAAGGAGGAAGCTAAGGCTCAGGAAATGGTGGTGACTTGCCCAAGGTCACAGCACTGGTGGGAGGGCTCTGGATTCAGCTGGGACATGCTGCTTGCACCCGTGCCCCCATTGTCTGACCTGTGTCCCACAGGCTTGGAATGCAGTGCTGCTGCGGTATTTCAACCCCACAGGTGCCCATGCCTCTGGCCGCATCGGTGAGGATCCCCAGGGCACCCCCAACAACCTCATGCCCTATGTATCCCAGGTAAGAGAGAAGGGTAGGGACAGAGGTGCTGGCCCTAGGGTTACGGCTGGTGCCGGGGACCTGGAGGAGCTGACCTGACCTCCACCGCCAGGTTGCTATTGGGCGACGGGAAACCCTGAATGTCTTTGGCAATGACTATGAAACAGAGGATGGCACAGGTGAGCCTAGGACCAGGAGGACCCAGGAGTGGAAACCAGGAGGGAGACAGGTGCCACTGACTCCCTCTCCCCCACCTCCTCCTCTGCAGGCGTCCGAGATTACATCCATGTCGTGGATCTGGCCAAGGGCCACATTGCAGCCTTGAGGAAGCTGAAGGAGCAGTGTGGCTGTCGGGTAGGAAAGAAGAGAGGGAGGGAAGAGGACTGAATCCTCGGCACATGGGGCCCAGACAGCAATTAGTTTTGCCCCTTCCACAAACCCTGTTTTCTCCTGGGCAGATCTACAACCTAGGCACAGGCACAGGCTATTCGGTGCTGCAGATGGTCCGAGCCATGGAGAAGGCCTCTGGGAAGAAGGTAGGCCACCCACCCACCCCACCCAACTCTCAGCAGCAGAAGGGCCCAGCCCTTCCCACTCATCTACCCGGTGGGCACCGCACCACTGCCCCGTCTCCTCAGCCTGCCTTGCACCTCCACGCTGGGTGCCTGCGAGCGAGATGCTGCTGTGCACGTCTGCTTCTTGTGGACCTGGCCAGCAGCTGGAGGGGTGAGGCCCAGGACCAGCTCAGCCGAACTATGACTGCTTCTTCTCCTGCAGATCCCCTACAAGGTGGTAGCACGGCGGGAAGGCGATGTGGCTGCCTGTTATGCCAACTCCAGCCTGGCCCACAAGGAGCTGGGCTGGACAGCAGCCTTAGGGCTGGACAGGATGTGTGAGTAGTGGCCTGACCCCTGGGAGAGAGTTAGGGGCTAGGAAGGGGCTAATCAGGTCTGGGCTGTCCCCTTATGGGAGAAAAGAGGGTTTCATTCCAGTGTGGACCCTGACGACATACCTCGCCCTGTCACAGGTGAAGATCTATGGCGCTGGCAGAAGCAGAATCCTTCAGGCTTTGGTGCGCAGGCCTGAGGAGCCTCCCCTACCATGGACCACAAAAGGAAGAGAAGCAACTGCCTGCTCTCCAGCCTCTGGCAGGAACCCAGGGCCCCAGAGCCAAGCCAAGGCCTCCCCTACCTCAAATGCCAACTGGCCCACTCAGCCCACCAGGCCTGAGGCCAAGGGCTCCACTGACCAGGAGTCAGGGGTCTCTAACTCATCTCCCACAGGGTCCAAGAACTCATCAGGACCACCAAGAGTGAGTGAGGGAGGCAGGGCTCTGGGACAAAACAAAACACCTGCCTCCCAGGCACTAATTTATACTGCTATGAAGGAGCTTTCCAAAGTAGCTAAAATAAAGTTTTCTTACACTGGGACAGATCCTCACAGACAGCCACTCTCTACCCATTGGACAGAATCAGCCAGGCCTGAGGGTTGAAGAAGCAATTTCTTTAATTTTATCGGAATCCAAGACACAAGAAAAACACTGAAAACCACATGGAGACAGAAGACAAGACACAACTCTCCCACTGCCTCCCTGGCCCTAGACTGGGGACAATGTGGGGTGAGACAGCTAGGGGAGACCTTGAGCCTCAGCCCAGCCCTGCAGACTCCAGGCCTGCAGGGGAGGAAGTAACGGGGAGGCAGGGCCTAGTCCCCCGAGTTGGGGAACAGCTGAGGGAAGGCCCCCTCCTCACCAACACTCCTGCCTGGGGGCAGGTGGCCCACAGCAGCAGGGGGCCCCGGGGCCATGGACACATTCATGATTGAGAAGCAGCTGGAGTGGAGGCAGGAGAGACACACGATTATCTGGGCAGAATCAGTTGGGGTGGGGGCCTGGGAGGGCCCCATGGGCCAAACCCTGAGGTCACAGGAGGGGGCCCAAAGCGGGGCTAGCGAGTGAGGTCCTGAGTGAGTGGGTCAGCGGCTGGGCCCCTTTCTCCCGCTGCCTACAGCCCCTCCAATACTGCTGCCAGGGGTGCCCACCTCCAGGGAAATGGGAGAAGAAAGCAACCCACTGCCTGCTGCAGACAGAGCCAGGTGGCTGAGGCCAGGAAGGAAGGCCTGGCCAGGCCTCCCCACCTGCCCCAGAGGCCTGTGGGATGAGGATGGGGTGGGGAGGGTGGGGACAGGCTCGACCGGCTCAGATCCAAGATGGTGCCGCAGTTGCTTTCTGGGTCCCCCATGAGCTGGGGGACTGTGCTGGGGACCAGCGGCTCTGGTTAGACAGGAGGCAGCAGCTTCTCAAGAAATTCCTTCACGGCTGCCATCTCCTAGGGGATGAGGGGGGCTGGTGAGAGGCTCTTAGCCAAAGGGAAGAGGGAGGTGGGAGTGGGAAGTGGTCCCCCCACTGACCTGAGGACAGGAGCTGTGCATGACACCTGGGTATGTCTTGAACTGGACCCTGGCAGGTGTGACAACAGACCGGAGCTTCTCAGCCGTCAGGGCCCCAAACCGTACGGGCACCATGGGGTCCAGCTCCCCGTGGCACTGAAGGATGGCCAGGTCCTTGGCACTGCCATTGGCTGCCTGGGGGCCGGGCAGGACTCAGGGCAAAGCCAGTGCTGCAGCACACTCCCCAAGCCACAAGGAGACCCAAAGGGCAGGCGGAGGGATCTGTGGGGACACTCACCTGGGGGAAGGCCCGGTGCAGAGGCAGCCAACAGCTCAATGCCACTATGCCAGCCAGAGGGTGGGGGCAGGTAAGGGCCGTGTAGAGGGACAAGGCCCCACCCTGGAGGGAGGAGTGAATGAGCGCTCACATGGAACAGTTCACCTGCCCACCCCCACACGCCTCTCTCTCCCCTCACCTGTGAAAAGCCTCCCAGGACGATTCGATTGGCAGGGATCCCATTCTTCATCTCGTGCTCAATCAAGGCCCTGACTGGGGGGAGGGGGCATGGTTGGGTGGGAGAAGCTGCTGCAGGGGCCCAGGAAGAGGGCCAGACAGTGCTTTCCTGGGGGACTTTCCAAGGGAGGATGCTGGGCAGGGGCCAGGGCCTTACTGTTCTCTGCTGCCTTCTTGATGCCAGCCTCGTCCTCTGGGGCATCTGGACTCAGCCCCATCAGGTCAAACCTGGGGAGCAGAGACGTTGGCAGCTACTGGAAGACTCCGGCCAGCCCTTCCCACTGGGCAGCTTCCTCAGCTCACATACCCCCACCCATCCCCAAACTCACCAGGAGGGCATCACCATCTTCATGTTGAGTGTCACAGGGATCCTAGGCCTGGGGAGGAGAGCCAGGGGCCATCACGCTCAGGAGCAATGAGGAAACCACAGCAGAGCCCAGGAGGGGGCAGAGCGGCCCCTGGGGGCCCCTCCCAGCAGGCAGGGCCTGTGTTTAAGGTGTTGCTAGGCAACCTGCCACGTGGGGCTGGTGGCTGCAGTTGGGGCATCAGTGGTGGTGAAGGAGAGGAAGAGCCCAGCACTGGATATGACGGGGTTCCAGCTCAGTTGGTGAGTACTTGGGGAGGGGGCACAAGGAGGTCCTGGTTTTAGAAGATCTTAGATCTAGGAGGCCCTCGGATGGGGGGCTGGTGCCAGGACCCCGTTCCTGGGAGCTCTACAGGAGCCAGGGCTGAAAATGGCACTTCTGACTGCCCTGACTGAGCTCAAGCCCTGGGATGCAGCTGATAGGAGAGAGCAGGCCCAGGACAGCAGGACGCCGGCTGATCCCCAGCCTCAGCCCCTCCCTTGCTGGGGTGACACTCACGCATGGGGACAGATGTACTTGACGTGAGGGAGCCGGATGGTGGAGAGGGCGTCAGCCCAGCTGTGCCTGTAGGAGGAAAGGGAGAAAAGGACTGATGTAGGAAGACAGAAAGCAAGGGTGACAGCCTCTCCAGCCCTGCTGCGGGCCCTGCCCACCTCCCCAAGGCACACCCTCCCCCAGTTCACTCACCCTGTGTCTCCAAGTCCATGTAAAAAAATAACCTGGAAAAGGATTAGAAATGGGGAGATGGGGAAGTTCCCCCTCTAGATCCTCCAACTTCTGCCCACCCCTCCCCCACCCCAAGAACCTGGGGGAACTGAGGTAGCAGCCAAACAGGCTATTAACCCCTTCTCATCACCGCCACCTCCATTTTCCCACACCCCCTCTGGCCAGTTCCCCAGCTGCCCCCACCGGGTCTGGGCTGGGGGCTGCTGTAGGCAAAAGGGGACCCTCACCGCAGCCGTCTCCCGCTCAGCTCCAGACACAGTGGCAGCATCGGTGAGCAGGGGCACAGACATGGTGTTACCACACATACACTACAGGGCTCCACGGCTGGGGCCTACACAAATGTGGGGGGCAGTGGTCAAGAGCAGGGATAGGCAGAGGAGACTCCTGGCTCGAGGGACCCAGCAGGCCATCAGCCCCCACACTGCACCTGGGCTCTGTCACCAGCACAAAGAAAAGGCAGACAAGAAGTCTCTGGGCAGAGGGGTAGGAAGTTTGCCTCTATTCCAAAGCTGAAAAGCAGAAGCAGCCACCCTAGTGGCCCAGAACTCGTGTCCCTAGTTCTGGCCCAACCACAGAGCCTGAGCATGCTGGAGATAGGCAGAGGCAGGGCTCAGGGGCTGTGAGGGGCCAGAAGTGGGTGGCCACCCTAGTGGCCCAGAACTCGTGTCCCTAGTTCTGGCCCAACCACAGAGCCTGAGCATGATGGAGATAGGCAGAGGCAGGGCTCAGGGGCTGTGAGGGGCCAGAAGTGGGTGACCAGGGGAGGCAGGGCGCTGTAACGCTCCTCAGAGGGCAACTCCTTCCTGCTCTTCAATCATTCTTTCCCTAGAGCCCTTGGTCTCCCCCCACCCACTCCAACACCAAGCCCAACTGGGAAATGAGGGGGAAAAGTGCCAGGGAAATATGCTTCCAGCCCTTACTACACACACACACACACACACACACACACACACCCCGCACACACACCCCCCGCACACACGCCACACACACACCACACACACACCACACGCCACACACACCCCGCACACACACCCCCCGCACACACGCCACACACACACCACACACACACCACACGACACCCCCTTGCGCAGCCCCGCTCCACTCCCGAAGTCCCCAGGACTGGACAGCGCCTTCGCACCTCACTCCCCACCCCCATCGCTCCCCATCGCGGCGCCCCCTCCCCACTCTCCGGGACCCTCCGGCGCTCCGATCTCCCCCCACACCCTCCCTCCGCCGGCCCGGCCCCGGCCCAGGGTACCTCCGCTCCCTGGGGCTTTCAAGACCGCTCGGGCGACTCTCCTCTCTCTCCCGCACAGACACACACTCTTCCCCCTCGGACGCCCCCGCCGGAACTTCCGCTCGAGTCCGGGGAACCCAGCCATCGCGCTGCCGGAAGTAGCCTGGCCAGCCGTACGGAACCCGGAAGCGGGGAACGGCCGCGCCGGATAGGAGCTGCCATGTTGGAGGCGGTGGGAGCCACTCTCGGTTCAGCACCCGAGTGTCTGCCCGCCCGCCCCCTCCTGCAGAATCCGGACAGGGCATCCCACCCGTGCGCCTCCTGGAGGAAAGCTGTTGAGAAGGAGAGAAATTCCTCACACTGTTCTCCGCATGAAGTTTACCGCCTCCCCATCCCCATGGGACACACTTCGTTATGGCCTTGGGCATACGCCTCTAGCTTTCATGCCCTATTCCAGGATCATGGATAAAATCATACACGCTGAACTAAAGAGACGTTAGAGATCATGTAAAGTCCTCCAGTCTTATTTTAAACATGAGGAAACAAGCTCAGAGAGGGGAAGTAAATAAACAACCACCTGCTGTACGGCACCACACACACACCCCGCACACACACGCCACACACACACACACACACCCCGCACACACACGCCACACACACACACCACACACACACCCCGCACACACACACCACGCACACACGCCACGCACACCCCGCACACACACACCACGCACACACGCCACGCACACACCACACACACACCCCGCACACACACACCACACATACACACCCACACACCACACACACACACACACACCACACACACACACCACACACACACCACGCATACACCCCCACGCGCACACACCACACACACCACACACACACACCACGCGCACACACACCACATACACCACATACACACACCACACACACTCCACACACACACCACACACACACACACCACACACACACACCAAACACACCACACACACACACACACCCCACACACCACACACACCCCCACACACACACCACACACACACCACACACACACACACACATACACCACACACACACAGCCCCACACACCACACACACACCACACACACACATACACCACACACACACAGCCCCACACACCACACACACACCACACACACACATACACCACACACACACAGCCCCACACACCACACACACACCACACACACACACACCCCCCCACACACACACACCCCTTTTCCATCCTCCTTCCCTCCCGCCCAGCCTTCACAGCAGTTTCTGGCTCAAGCTGCTCATGTCTCCAGAAAGCATAAGGACTCCCATCCACCACCACGCTCCCCTCAGTGGGGGTACCTGCCATTGCTGCTGCCACTGAGTCCAAATGGGCCCCCAGCTTGACCACACTCTGGGACTTCCAAACACACAAAAGATTGTCAGGCCGACTGGCCCCTCCCCATCCTCAGCGTCCTCCAAACTCACCTGCCTCTCAAGTGCCCACCCTTTGCAGCAACGCCCACCCTCCCAATTGGCTTCCACCTTCCATCCTGACCCCTACTGCACCTCCCCAGAGTGGGATTTTTCCCCTCTGACCCCGGGGTCCCTCTTTCGTCAGTGAATGCACCTCCCGCCCTAAGCTGGGATTCCCTTCCATCTCCACGATGGGGACTTGGCCTCTCACCCAGGCTCCCCCTCTCCAAGAGGTGCCTCCCTCCCCACAGTTAAGAACTTCCAGGCCAACCCAACGTCTCCCAGTCCCCACAAATGGAACTTTTGTTCTGACAAAGGGTCACCCCCTCCCCACAGTGACATTTCCTGCTGCCGGCTTTCTACCTTTGACCCTGGGGAAGCCCTCGCCCTTCGATGGCACCTTCCACTGCAGACCCCCAAGTCCCTCTCACCTCACCCGGACACCCCCTTGCGCAGCCCCGCTCCACTCCCGAAGTCCCCAGGACTGGACAGCGCCTTCGCACCTCACTCCCCACCCCCATCGCTCCCCATCGCGGCGCCCCCTCCCCACTCTCCGGGACCCTCCGGCGCTCCGATCTCCCCCCACACCCTCCCTCCGCCGGCCCGGCCCCGGCCCAGGGTACCTCCGCTCCCTGGGGCTTTCAAGACCGCTCGGGCGACTCTCCTCTCTCTCCCGCACAGACACACACTCTTCCCCCTCGGACGCCCCCGCCGGAACTTCCGCTCGAGTCCGGGGAACCCAGCCATCGCGCTGCCGGAAGTAGCCTGGCCAGCCGTACGGAACCCGGAAGCGGGGAACGGCCGCGCCGGATAGGAGCTGCCATGTTGGAGGCGGTGGGAGCCACTCTCGGTTCAGCACCCGAGTGTCTGCCCGCCCGCCCCCTCCTGCAGAATCCGGACAGGGCATCCCACCCGTGCGCCTCCTGGAGGAAAGCTGTTGAGAAGGAGAGAAATTCCTCACACTGTTCTCCGCATGAAGTTTACCGCCTCCCCATCCCCATGGGACACACTTCGTTATGGCCTTGGGCATACGCCTCTAGCTTTCATGCCCTATTCCAGGATCATGGATAAAATCATACACGCTGAACTAAAGAGACGTTAGAGATCATGTAAGGTCCTCCAGTCTTATTTTAAACATGAGGAAACAAGCTCAGAGAGGGGAAGTAAATAAACAACCACCTCGGGATTACTGTAATGCTGCCTCTCTGGACCTGCTTCCTGAGCTATAAAATGGTGATAATAACCACTCTGCCTACTTCACAGCTTTGCTGTTAGGCTCGAATGAGGTCGTATGAACAAGCATTATACACTGTAAAATCACAGTGTGAGGCCTTACTCACTCTAAAAAGGACCCTGGGAAAATTCACAGGCCACATCAGGATAGCTGGGTAGGCATGGGTGTGTCTTAGGACTGCCTTCGACAAGCAATGCCATGCAGACAGTGCAGAAAATACTATCAAATGAGCCCCAACTGTTAAGAACAAAAAGGGCTTCATTTGGTCACCACTGAGTCACCCATTGCTCCTTGCTGCACTGGTAAAGTGGAAATAAAGCTCAGGGTCCACAGGCTGGAAGGGAGGCAAACTGAAGTTGAAGGACCATGTCCCTGAGAGAACGTGGGGGATCTGCAAACAGGAAATGAGTCACACTTGTCCCTCAGCAGCTTAGGAATCATTCTCCCAGCTTAACCTACATGTTTTTTCTTTGAACTGAAAGAAAACAGTACAAACTTGGAAGCTCAACAAAGCACATTTCCCCAGGCCTAGAGGCAGTTTAGTCTTCAGTACTCAACAGGTCACGGAGATACATCCTAAAATACCAGAATTCTGGGCAGAAAACCTTTGCGCCCAGGGGACCACAGCAGGCCAAAAACCCAGGACTGGATGTCAAGAGAGAAAGGGGATAAAAGTGAAAAGGGGAAGAAAACAACACAGCTGCTCTCATTCCCAACAGAATCCCCGCTTGGGTTTCTGTATGGAAAAATGAACAGTTCCTCCTGCACCCAGGATCACCTGAGACACTAGCACTCCCAGCAAATTCTTCAGAGTGAAGCTTCAAATTCAGAGGCCAGTCCCAGGTGCTACTTGTGATTGGTGCTTTAATTAGTGGAATTAATGAACAGCTAGTCTGCTCTAAGATTTCTAACTTTATTTTTTTCCCTACTCCAAATTAAAACAGCCCTGCTTGGGGCTGGCTGGTTAGATCACTCAGTAAATTGTGGTGCAAGGGTTTGGATCTCTGTAACCAGCCAGCCACCAGCAAAGAACCATAGCCCTTCTTTTATTTTGATCTCCAGAATGACCCAACTGAAACAAAGATGCTGTGGCTGAGGAGTGAGTAGGACCCTTAGTGCATCAAGAACTGTTTTTGCATTCTGGTTGATTTCAGGCTGCATTTTAGAAATTTTCAGGCCCAATAAGTCTTGGTGGTGGCATACTTTCCCTAAGACAGGATGGAGAAACAGTGGCTATATCTTCCTAACAAAAGAGTTGGCCAATCCCTCAGAGGAACTCTCTCAAGAGGATCAGAATCAACACTAATTCCCTTTATCAACTGCTCCTACTTTCTGCGAGAGAGAGAATACTAACCATCTCAAATCCCCTTTTTGGATGAATTTTCTTCAATTGCTGCACTGACTTTCAGGATTCAAGTCCAAAGTCTTTGGTCTGGGCCAGCCCGATGGCGCACTGGAGAGTGAGCCGCTTGGGAGTGCGGTGGCGCTCCCGCCGAGGGTTCGGATCCCATGTGGAGACCGGTTCCCGCTCACTGGCTGGGTTGCGATCCCGTTACCGGTCAGTAAAAAAGACAAAAAAGGAAAAGAAAAAAAAAAGTCTTTGGTCTAACCTTCAGACGGCATGTGCTGCTCACTTACTTTTCTCACCCTCATCTCTTTTGATGAGCTCCAGGATCTGTTCTCCCTTATTTTTGTAAATGTCACTCCATAAGTTACTTCCCTTCATGAGAAATGAAATATAGGTTTCCATTTCCACCTTCCTCTTTTTTTTTTTTTTTTTTTCCCTTTCTGTCTTTTTTCGTGTCCGGCAACGGATCGCAACCCTCAGTGTTGCACCCACACCGGACCGGGACCGGCAACGGGATCGCAACCCTCGGTGTTGCTCCCGCACCTCGCTCAGCCAGTGAGCGGGACCCGGTCTGTACGTGGGATCCGAACCCTCGGCGGGAGCGCCACCGCACTCCCAAGCGGCGCACTGTAGCAGTGCGCCACCGGGCCGGCCCATCCACCTTCCTCTTTACAAATGTAGATACAGGAGTGTTTTTAGCCTAATGTACAGAATTAAGCTTGACCTTTCCTGAAGAAACTGATCTAATCTTGATTTAATTGTGGCACTTCTTATGATCTACCTAGTCCAAAACAACAAAAAAATTTCAAAGTTCGATACAGTTCCCAGTAAAATGACAAGTTTCATCAGTACTGTGAAGAACTCAAAAGAAAATACAAACATTACGTCTGGCAAGGATTTATTACAAAGCTTATTAGTCACAGTGAATAAAAGCCATGAACAGAAGAACTGAGAAATCCCCAAATTCTGGCATTGGGCTTACAACACTAGTTAGAAGCTAATTAAACATTAAGGAGGTTCCAAGGGGAATCTTAGAACTAAGTCTCAATCTTACCCTGACCAGTCTACCCACACACAGAGAAATGACTCCCATGCTCTCTCCAGATTGCTTAGCTAGGCACAGAGAAAGACCTTCTCCCCAAGCTATCACATATCATCATAAGATTCCTATCCTTGTAGCTGTAACCATGGGACACTTGAGCGTGACAAGCTCCAAGCTGGGCAACTTGACAAGAATGCTCAACAATGACAGGGAAGAGAAGCAAGCAGGAACAAGTGTTTCTATTGGAGACCCTCCTGATGGCTAACACAAACATGATCCTGAGGCTTCAGAAAGTTTCCTGCAGCCCAGGAATAGTTTCCATTTTTTTAAAACACAAGTCACACAAAAATCCTGCCGCAAAGCAACAAGACACTTGGGATTCCATGGCTACATCAACTGGAAAAGCAAGCGTTATCCATGACTGCCAGACGCCACCCAGCCCAAGACCCAATTTCTGCAGTGCCCTTAAGAACCACGATTGTCCCGGGGCACCCATTCAACCCTCCCAGTGGTACAGTGTCTTCCGTAGGCCAGATTTCTGCAGCAAACCCCAAAGATAAAGCTTGGCAGAGGCTGTGGCAGCCAACTCTCTCTGGAGCCTCATCTCTTTGTCTTTCCCAACAGGTAGTCATATATCTTCACTGACACAGCACCTTGTGGGAGCCTTGGCCAGCCCTTAGGAAATGAAGTGTGTCTGTGGGGTAACCTGATGGACCCTGTGGTCTGCTGGGTTAGCCGATGCTTCATAATTGCAGATGGTCACCTCATGTCGGCGAAGCTGCAAGAAAATTGAGGGGCTGGGTCAACGGGCCAGTAAGGAACTGTCCTTTTCCTGAACCTTTTATTCAGGTTCATTTCTAGAAGTCATCATCTAATATCTCCCATCTTCGATATTTTTATCTTGAGAAGCTTGTAAAGATCATTATCAATAATTCACCCTGAAACTTAGAAGATTCATTCCCCCTACTATCATGAGGGCACCATGAGAACTGGAGCTTGTTTTATTTATCATTTTATCTCTGGTGCCTAGAACAAGAAAGATTATGAAAAATGTTAAATAAAGGAAAGAATCTGAAAGTGAAAAACTGTGAATTGATATAAATTACATAATTTCAGGGAACATTACTCTCTTGTGATGTCCCTGTGCTTTGCCTTCCCCTAGCATGTTAAATAATAGAATTTGTTATGCCTTTTCTTCCTATTGATCTAAATTTATCAGGGATTTTTATTAATGAACCTTTAGGAGTGATGTTTTCTTTTGGCCCCTACAGTTATGGTGCTGTGAGCAGGATACTAAAAGGTGCCTTGCCCTTCTGGAGCCACAGATGGCAGACACCAGAGCCTGAAAGCCAGCAGAAAAGGGTATCTCTCAAGGTCCTGCTGAACCAAACTGAAGAAGAAATAAAACGCTGAACAGAAAAATGGGTTAGGAGAATACTTTAGAACAATCAGCCTAGAGCTGCAGACTTGCTCCAAAACACATACTGTCCAGATCCTGAGAAAGCAAGGAAGACATCAATAAAGCTATGCTGATTCCATTCTGAAGCTGGACCCTAAGATAACATCAGGAGTGGGAGCAGAAACCAGAGGGAGCCTTGGTGAGACCTTGCACCTGGCCCCGTGCCTGGAGCCCCTGTGGCTCCCGCCCCTGCCTCTGCTTTTCTTTTCCCACACTCCATCCCCTCAACCCCCTCTTTATTTATTTATTTTATTTTTATTTTTTTAAAGATGACTGGTAAGGGGATCTTAACCCTTGACTTGGTGTTGTCAGCACCATGCTCAGCCAATGAGCTAACTGGCCATCTTTATATGGGATCCGAACCTGGGGCCTTGGTGTTATAAGCACCAGACTTTCCCGAGTGAGCCACGGCCGGCCTCAACCCCCTCTTTAAAAACCCCTCAGTAAATATGAGTCTCTGAGATGGCTTTAGTCTGGCCAATCTCCTTCAGTTTTACTGAAAGACATGGGTTAGCCTTACATCTCTCTTCAGGTCATCAGTATTCCTGAATAAAATTTGACTTCCATTTTCACCAACAATAAACAAACAAACAAACAAACAAACAGGGGCTGGCCAGTTAGCTCAGTTGGTTAGAGCACAATGTTACATCACCAAAGTCAAGGGTTCGGATCCCCTGATTGGCCAGCCTCCAAAAGAATAAAAATTCACACATAAGGTACATAGTCAAACTAGTTTTTAAAAAATAATAAAATACAATAAAAATAAGCAACATAATTTCAATCCCCTTAAAAATACCTACAGTCTGTCAAATAAGTGAGACAGACAGTTTATAGTGATAAAACCAAGAAAAATTACAAACAGACTGGGAGCAACTGATGTCTCACTTGCTTTTTCCCCTCCCCTTAAACCTCCCGCCACCATAGTGCAGATATAGATATATGGATGTATACCTGACGAACAATCTTTTCAGCCCCATCTTACCTCAGTCCATTCTCCTCTCAGGCCAATATAAAAGACCTTTGTGGTATCTGCTCCAAAGTTTTTTGAAATATGTATCGAGAGATGATAGACATTTGAAAAACGAGAAATTCTAGAGGATGAAAGGAGTAGGGAGAGAAGACATAGGTTACAGCTCAATGAGTACCTCACCACCACGTCAAGCATTTCAGTTCCAACTTGTGGTGAAACCCAGCGAAATGTCAGAGAACACTATAGGGTTCTTCCTTCTCATTCTTCTCTTTGGACAAGCAATTAATTCAGTGAACATTTACTCAGCATCTGCCAGATCCTGTCCAAGGCAGCAGGGACAGAAAGATTAGAATAAACACTGCTCCTGTCCTCAAGGAACAGGATGAGAAATGGTTTATAACCCAGCAAAGATTCCAAGGCATGTTTAGCTGTGACCTCACCCTTAGGAAAAAGAGAAAGCTAATGAAGAGAGCAGATGGTCACGTGTAACTCAGCCTGCTGTAAGCTCACTATGCAAAGAATTCTGAAAACATCTTTCCTGAGCCCACCCTAAGAGGACATTTAGATCTGCCTATTGCTTACAGGTTAACAAGTCTGTGACTTGCACTGAATCTCTGCCAAAAACTGATCAAGCCAAGGACCAAGCCTCCTCCATATTTTAACTCATTTCTGATGCTAAGAGAGCAGGACACTGGCCAAAAATAAGTGGTCAGCCCTATAAGCACCGATGCATACATGCTCACTGCAAATGAAGGAGCAGCTACGTTCCTCAGAAGAAACCACAGACAGCGGAAGACAGGCCCAGTGCTTACTTTGTAGCATACTCTAATTCTCCTGTAAGATCCCGGTTTAGGCTAAAAGTCTGATCTGGCTCCCTTTCTGTATCATCAAATGACATCTGTGGAATGTTCTTGTACCTGAGAAAGGAAAGGGAAGAAAAGTCAAGAAATCTGCATAATAATGTTTTTCAGTTTCTCAAAGATTTCTACTGACTGCTCAACTGGCTTCAATTCTATCAAAAGGAAATCAAATTTTGGGGTCAAATTTTGGAAATGGCATTTTACTGGTATTTATATACAAACACAGTATCTTTAACTGGACAAGAAAAGAGCTGAGAACTGCAACATAACCCAGTGGCATCTTTGAGTGGGTTAAGATCACATGAGAAGCAATACACAAAGAGGTGGCTCAAAGTAGGTCACGTGTAGCAAATGCATGGAGAAAATAAGCAACTCAGCACATTCAGACCAAGCTGAGGATATTAAATAAAATGGCTTACTCATGGGAAAAAAAAAATACATACTTTGGCAGAAACATATTAAACACAGTTAAGAGAAAAGATCGGGTAACCCAATGTTCAAGCACTTTTCACATCCAAAAATTACTCCATATATTCAGTCATCTTACAGATCTTTAAAAATACAATTTGCGGGGGCTGGCTGGTTAGAACATGATCCTGACAACATCATGGTCAAGGGTTCAGATTTTGTACCAGCCAGCCACAAAAAAAAAAAAAAAAAAAAAAAAAAATACAATTTGGGGATTTCCATTTTGAAAGAGCACAAAAGGCTGCAAACTCACAATAGGCTTTGAAAGTCAAGGGAAAACTGCTAGTGAAGAAAATATTTTTCGAAGAAAAGTCTAGGAAATAGCTGTCTCTATGATCCACAAATTCTCAGTGACTAAGCCATATATCCTCACCATCTCCAGTGTATTTTATTAATACACCTGCATGGCAGGGGCCTAGATATTAGTTGCAGCAAAATGCATGTAATTTAAGAAAGCAAATGTTTGCTTCAAAGTGTTTCTAAGAATGATGCACAGCAGAATAATAATAATAGTGAACATTTATGAGCAGCATTATGAGAAGCAGTGTGGCACTAGTTAAAAGCAGTGTCTCTAGAGCTAGACTTCCTGAGTTTACAGCGTGGCACTGCCATTTACCAGCTGTGTAATTTGGGGCAAGTGATTTAACCTCTCTGTGTCTGTTTCCTCATATGTAAAATGGGGATAGTAACAGTACATATTCCATACTGTTGATGTGGAGATTAAATGGATTCAATTCTAAGAGGCACATATATTAAAAACACTTTCTTAAGGGCCAGCCCGTGGCTCACTTGGGAGAGTGTGGTGCTGATAACACCCAGGCCATGGCTTTGGATCCTATATAGGAATGTCCAGTTAGCTCACTTGGGAGAAAGTGGTGCTGACAACACCAAGCCAAGGGTTAAGATCCCCTTACCGGTCATCTTTTTAGAAAAAAAAAAAAAAATGCTTTCTTACCATGTGAAATTTCAAACATGCACAAAAGCAGAGAAAATATAATATCTCCATATCACTCATCTTCAACAATCAACAACATTATTACAGTTGTGTCTACACACCCACTTTGATTACAGTTGATTTTTTTTTTTTTTTTTTTTTAAAGATGACCGGTGGGGCCGGCCCAGTGGCACACTGCTACAGTGCGCCGCTTGGGAGCGTGGTGGCGCTCCCGCTGAGGGTTCGGATCCCACATACAGACCGGTTCCCGCTCACTGGCTGAGCGAGGTGTGGGAGCAACACTGAGGGTTGTGATCCCGTTGCCGGTCCCGGTCCGGTACGGGTGCGACACTGAGGGTTGCGATCCGTTGCCGGACACGAAAAAAGACAAAAAGGAAAAAAAAAAAAAAAAAAAAGATGACCGGTAAGGGGATCTTAACCCTTGACTTGGTGTTGTCAGCACCACGCTCACCCAGTGAGCAACCGGCCATCCCTATATGGGATCCGAACCCGTGGCCTTGGTGTTATCAGCACCACACTCTCCCGAGTGAGCCACGGGCCGGCCCACAGTTGATATTTTAAAGCAATCTCAGACATACCATTTCACCCATAAGTTTTTCAATATGTATCTCTACAAAGAACTTCTTTAAAAAATACCTATGATACCATTTTACTATAACTAACAATATTAACAATTAACAATAATTCTTTAATATCATCTAACATCTAGTCTGTGTTCAAATTTCCCTGATTCCAGACTACCAATTTAACTTTTCAGGCTGTATCAATGACATGTCATAGTTCAATATGTAGCATTTTATTTTTATTTCTGGTGGTTGGCTGAAGCCTTGACCTTGGTGTTACCAGCACCATGCTCTAACCACGTGAGGGGGCTGACCAGTTAAGCTCAATTGGTTAGAGGATAGTGCTAATACCACCAAGGTCCAGGGTTCAATCCCTGTACTGGCCAGCCCCCCCCCCCCCCCCCAAAAAAAAAACAAGTGAGCTCACTGGCCAGCCCTGGCAGCATTTTTTTTCTTTGTTAATTGTACATAAAATAATGGTTCATTTTACAACCAATGACATCTTAGACTCAATAAAGCATGTAGTGTGCTTAGAACAGAAGACCACATATTTGTATCTGCTCGCCTAAAATTTGGCATTTCCTATTTACCAGACCTATTTTAAGATCTTTACATGCAATATCTCATTTAAGTCACTTCACAATCTTATGAAGTATGTACTATTACTATTCCCATTTTACATGAGAAAATCGATGCATAGAGAAGATAAGTAATGTCTCAAAGTCATGCAGCTAGCAAGTGGCACAGCCAGAATTTGACCCCAGTTTAGTCCAGAGCCAGCACTCTTAACCACAATGCAACATGGATGTCTAGTCTTCTGAAGCCAATCCATATCTCAAGTAAAGGAGTGTCCAAAAAAACCAAACTGTTTTCTTAGAATGATTAAATATGTGGATCTGCTTTCAAATTCATGTTTCTAACATTCAAAAATAGGGGCCGGCCCGGTGGCGCACTGCTACAGTGCGCCGCTTGGGAGCGCGGCAGCGCTCCCGCCAAGGGGTCAGATCCCACATACAGACCGGTTCCCGCCCACC